AACAAAGTGACCCTGTGGGGTCACAGCGCTGGCGCTGCCGCCATTCACATGTTGGCCCTTAACAAAAAAACGGAGGGATTGTTCAACAGGTACATCCTGCAAAGCGGGTTCGCCGTCAGCCCTTGGGTCATGAATCCCAGAAGCTTGATGAGAAGGGTGGCGCTCGAGATAGCCAACCATCTTTATTGTCTTCCTTTCAAAAGGAACGGGAAAGAGAAGGAGAAGGATAAGGGATACGAGGAAATGGGAGATGAGGCGGGTCGGGAGAAGAAAGGACCGACGTATATATCGGATGTGGCGATTAGTGGAAGTGGAATGGAAAATGAGACGGAAAAATACAGCGAGGAGGAGGAGGAAGAAATGATGAAGTGTTTGAGGAATGTTGAAGTCGAACACTTGGGGAATATACTGAATATTTATTACGTAAGAAAATATTTTTTCATTCTTTTGTATGAAATTTTAGGCAATTATTTCTCTTTCTCTTTTTTATGTATATCTTCCTCGAAAATTTGAAGTATTCTCATTCAATTTCGAGTTATCGTTTTATTCATGAATTATCCTTTTCAAATGGTAATTATATAACATTCTTTTTCGATGAATTTTCGTTGGGATTTAGGCAATTACTTTTCTTTCTCTTTTTTATTTGTATCTTTCTCGAAAATTTGAAGTATTTCGAGTTATCGTTTTATTCATGAGTTATCCTTTTCAAATGGTAATTATAATATACCTTTTCGACGAATTTTCGTTGGGATTTAGGTAATTATTTCTCTTTCTCCTTTTTTATTTATATCTTTCTCGAAAATTTGAAGTATTCTCATCCAATTTCGAGTTATCGTTTTATTCATGAGTTATCCTTTTCAAATGGTCCTTTTCAATTATAATATTTTTTTCGACGAATTTTCGTTGGGATTTAAACAATTACTTTTCTTTCTCTTTTTTATTTATATCTTCCTCGAAAATTTGAAGTATTCTCATCGAATTTCGAGTTATCATCATTTTATTCATGAGTTATCCTTTTCAAAATTAATTAACATTCTTTTTCGACGAGAATTTTCATTGGGATAATTTTTTAATATTAATTATCCGTTTCGAGCAATTTTATATAATTGCAAGGGGATGATCGTTTTGATTTTTCACCTTTTTTGAAAATGCGATAATTCATACGCGTCTCTGGTTGAATATTTGCGCGAAGAATAATAAATATCGAGTATTTGTCAAACAGAATGTATTGAAGGTGCCATGCTGCCTTTTTCTACCAACCATCGAGGAGGAATCAAACGACGCTGTCGTGACGATGCATCCCTTAACAGCGATAAAAAAACGCTTATTCAGAGATATACCATTTATTATGGGAGTAGTTCAGGAAGAAGGACTCGTGAATACGATCGGTAAATTCTAAAAAGAAAATTTTTTACTGTTTTTAATATACATGTCTTATTACATTATAAGTTGTATAACTTGTAGACGATTCAATTTTAAGAATGGAAAAAATATTCAGAACTTGATTGCTACATCCAAATGCAACTATAATTAAAATATGTGCCTCGTTTCATAAAAATGTCGATCAAATGTTTTTAATCGAAAAATCAACAAATTTACAACATTTTTCGTTTAAAATCATACACTTTCTTTTTACAACGAAACAAAGTATATATTTTAATCTTTATTCATCCCTGGATATATACACCTTAATAAAAATGTAATAATTACAATTTCAGGAACAAGAAAAATTCGAATTTTAAATTTGATCTTCATAGTTAACAAAATTAACGAGTTTTTGAAACATTCTGTTATTATTAAAAAAGAAAAAAAAATCAATTCGA